ATGCACTCCCGAAGCAGACAAAATGGCTCGTGATGGGCATTTTATGTAAGAAAAATTGGGTGAATCACCGCGGCGCCCTCCTATGCGCGTATCACTAGCAAGGTCCCAGTCTCGTGAGCGACGAGCAAAAGCATCATGAGCCGGCATCNACTCCCGAAGCAGACAAAATGGCTCGTGATGGGCATTTCATGTAAGAAAAATCGGGAGAATCACCGCGGCGCCCTCCTATGCGCGTATCACTAGCAAGGTCCCAGTCTCGTGAGCGACGAGCGAAAGCATCATGAGCCGGCATCCCGCAGGTAATCGCCAATAAGGGCGAAGTCTAAATTCTCGTGGGTGGTGAGACCTAACAACAAGCAACGTGGCGGTCGTGAGCAAAGCGTGCCTCGGCGCACGAAAAGGGAAGAATCGCGTCCAATTATCTCTTACCGTGCCTGCCAAACTGACCGAATCCATTGCGATTTCACGCGCAGGTTCATATCCTGCCGCTGACGCCAAGTTTAAAGGAATGCCCGCCCGACGGTGGCTTGCCTCCTAGATGTAGTAGATGTAGATTCTGCCGTAGACACTCTTGTCCACGAGCACGTTGAGATGGGAAGGTTGCTTGTTATTGCAGAAGCGGGTCTGCTACAGGTCTGAGGTGAGGCGGATTGCCCTCAACCTGGGGGCACGCAGATAGCTAAGTCCCGATGGGGTACGTCCTAAGAGGGTATACCTCCTGACGTCCCCTATCTTAATCTAGACCGACTGTGTACCCTATCTGTGCCATACAGCAACACTCCTTAACACACCCGGCTGAATCACTTTTGTGGGATTATGGCTTTTAATCACTGGGATTGAGAGTGAAGATCTCCGGGGACGGACCCTATAATGGTGTAACATTATCTTATAGAAGACGTCACCACAGAGACGCGTAGTCGATGGAATATCGCACATCGAAGATAATACCAGACGGCAGACGAACAATCACGTCGAAAATTGGAGCAATCGACGAACACACCCGGGGGGAGGGTTCTACTACTGTATTGTAATCGCATCCCGCAGCCTTTAGACCGTTGACCTCGCATCCTTCCAACGCCGGGACGGAGCGAAATGCCGGGGTTTCGTCGGCCCAGGCTACGATGAACCAGAGGTTGGTCATCATCCTTGCGTGAGCCATGCGGGGGGAGCAGAGGTATGTTGTTGGCGGCTCTTAGGGTTTCCTAGCGGCAGGCACGGACGGTAGTCAGTGAGCAGGAAGATGAAGGTTGCAGACGGGCATGTGGGTAGTCTTTTACTTGCCCTGGTGACGGCACGGGCCCCCTGTTTGAAGTAGTAGTGGTATTATAAGGTTCGACTCTTTTTGGTCGTCGAAACGGTCGTCTGGGGGGTGATCGCGATGTCCGGGCGGGCGGGCGGGTTCTTGAGGATGTCTTGTAGTCTATGGTTGTTGTTGATCGTCGTCGTTGCGGTATGGTCGTGTTCATTCCAACGATGAGAGGGAGGGAGGAAGGAAGGGAGGATATCCCTTCCTGTGGCGTCGTTGTCGTTTCCCCGCGGCGCCACGTAAGGCGGGGGGGAGGGATGTTTCGGGAAAGATCTGGCTTCAACCTTCGGTGGGAGTGAAATAGAAAGGTAGAGCGCTTTCCCCTCTGACCTGAACCTTCGGCGGAGGTCAAACAAACAGGCTGGCATACCCCTTTTGGAGAAACACAGCGCCAGCGAGGGGTAAAAGGAAATTCACAATCTGGGGTTGAACGTCTCGACGGTGTGATTTTCATTCCAAACTCCAACGCATATGCATATGCATACGTGTATGTGTAGTGTCGTGCATGCGTAGCAGCGTTACACTTCGATCCAGGCGGCGCTAATGGTCGGGCCGGTGTGTTCGTACATGTCCTTTACTTGGAAGGCGAAGACGTTTTATCTCTTGTATTAGACACGCAAGGGGAGTAGGGACAACTGAAGCCCTCTTTGGAGTTCGAGGGGTCCCCGCACATGCAACCATTTCAAGGTGTACATATGCCCCACTCTGCGTGCCCTCTGTTGTTGACGGTAGATCTAACCAGTCCGTATCCAAACACACGAACACCCTCGCCGGTTTGCACGCGAATGGCAAACCTAACGTGGGGCATGGATACCCCTGATCTACCAAAGGGACTCAAAACAACAACAGGCTCGAGGGAAAACCCGGCCAACAGGATAAAAAATCCTCGTCTAACACCCTAAATATAGAAAACCGTCGCTATCACGGACGATTCCAACGGCCGCACTTCCAAGACAAGGCCAAGGTAGGACAGATTGAACCGGTCACGCTGATTTCACACCCGAAGCANCAGGATAAAAAATCCTCGTCTAACACCCTAAATATAGAAAACCGTCGCTATCACGGACGATTCCAACGGCCGCACTTCCAAGACAAGGCCAAGGTAGGACAGATTGAACCGGTCACGCTGATTTCACACCCGAAGCAACGCTCTCGGCGTTTCTAGGCTCCAGCCGCGGGTGACGCGCCGGCACAACGCTTCCTGCGTGACGTACCATGGTCATATATGCCAAGTGCAAAAACCACCACATAAACCAAACACAACAAGAGANTTTGGAGTTCGAGGGGTCCCCGCACATGCAACCATTTCAAGGTGTACATATGCCCCACTCTGCGTGCCCTCTGTTGTTGACGGTAGATCTAACCAGTCCGTATCCAAACACACGAACACCCTCGCCGGTTTGCACGCGAATGGCAAACCTAACGTGGGGCATGGATACCCCTGATCTACCAAAGGGACTCAAAACAACAACAGGCTCGAGGGAAAACCCGGCCAACCGGATCAAAAACCCTCGTCTAACACCCTACAAATAGAAAACCGTCGCTATCACGGAGGATTCCAACGGCCGCACTTCCAAGACAAGACCAAGGCAGGACAGATTGAACCGGTCACGCTGATTACGCACCCGAAGCAACGCTCTCGGCGTTTCTAGGCTCCAGCCGCGGGTGACGCGCCGGCACAACGCTTCCTGCGTGACGTACCATGGTCATATATGCCAAGTGCAAAAACCACCACATAAACCAAACACAACAAGAGAACACTACATCGGCAGGTTCATCAGAGCCTTCCGGTGGTACTCTAAGTTCTCTCTGCCAAGGACCTTGGTCAGCATGTCGGCGTGCTGCTCTCCAGTCGGAACATACTCTGCAATGATCTTGCCCGACTTGAATAGCTCGCGAATGAAATGGAACCGCACGTCGATGTGCTTGCTCCTCGCTGAGCTGAACGGGTTCTCGATTAAGGCGAGAGCCCCCTTGTTGTCCTCAAGGACCTTGATCTTCGCCCCACTCGTCTCGGGCCCTATGAACGACAGAACGCCACGCACAAACAACGCCTCCTTCACGCCCTCCCCGGCTGCCATATACTCTGCTTCCGAGGTCGACTGAGCCGTCACTGGCTGCGTCTTGGTGGATGCACACACTACGGTACCACCTACGGTCACAGCTAGCCCGGTCGTAGAACGCCTGTCTACTTCGTTGTCAGAGTAGCTGGCATCGACAAACAGGCTTACGTCTAGTCCTGACCCACGTTCGTAGTGATGCCGAAGTCCTTCGTGAAGTTCAGGTAGGACATGATCCGCACAAGCGCGTTCCATATCCTCCCGGTGGGTGAGTGGGCGATCTTCTGGAGCTTGTTCAGAGGCAGGGCGATGTCTGGCCTCGTCAGCTTCGTCCACATCAGGCATCCGATCGCCTCCCTCACAGGCTTATCCACCGCGGGTTCGTCATCTCTCTTCGGCCCTAGGTCGGCGTCGGTGGCAGCAGGGGTGAAAGCGGTCGTGGTCACATCAAACCGCTTCAGCATACTCTCAATGTATGCTGTCTGGGACAGCTTGGTGATGCCATTTTCTACATTCATGGCGATAGCACACCCGTCGTCCCAAGTACACTCCCCCAGATTTTCACCGGAAACTTCTTGTTAAGGGAAGCGAACAACTCCTCTCGCTCTCCCTCGTCTGCCGCCACTAAGATGTCATCAACGTAGATCACGATGAGACCTACGACCTCTCCATCCACCACCTTCCGGAAGACACACGGGTCAACCCTGCACTGCTCGTATCCATTCTCGATGAGGGCATCGGCAGCTTCAAACCCCCACTCACGGCCACTCTGCTTTAGGCCATACAGGGCACGCTCAACCTTGACCACCTTGCCGGACATGCTACCACAGCCTTCCGGGAACCTGAGGTATATTTCTTCTTTTAGCTTAGCGTGGATGTACGCTTGCTTCACATCCCAGTGAGCGAGTTTCTTGCCCTTTTCAGTGGCTACGGCAATCACCGTCTTGATAGACGCTGCAGACGGGCACGCTGAGGATGAGCGGTGGAAGTCGATGCCGGGGATTTGAGAGAAACCCCGCGCAACCATACGGGCCTTGAAGTCGACTATCAGGCCCTTCTCATTCGTCTTCCAAGAGAACACCCACTTTGAACCTATGGCCTTCCGCCCCTCGGGCAGCTCCTTGACCTTGGTAAAGGTTCCAGTCTTGTCGTGGCCATCTATCTCTTTCTTCATGGCCGCCTCCCAGAAAACCTTGTACTTGGAACACATCACATCCTTGTACGTCATCGGTACTGCTTCCACATCACTCGGCTTCTGCCCGATTGGCGAGGTCATACTTAGCTGTGGGTCTGGGAGTGGTTGCGAAGACCCGCTGGCGTCGACCGCGGCCCCGACCGCCTGCTGTTCCGGGCCCAACACCTCCTGCATCTCGCGCCTGTACATCTCCTCCATACGGCGTGTCTGCTCCTCGTCCCACTGCTCCTTCACAAGCGAGTTGCAGATGTAGTCCTCAACAATCCCCGTCCCGCCAGTTTCCAGGATGGTCGCCAGCAATGCCTCTTCCGGGTCCGGTGTTTCTCCGGGCCCCGGCATCTCCCCGGCACCTTGCATCTCCCGGGTCTGCTTCCGCGTGCGGCCACTGTCAAGCCCATGGCGCAGCGGGCCAGCGTTCGAGGCGCCCCAGAGGAGTTTCTTCCCTTCTAGCCCGCGGGGGTAGCGGTCGTCGGCTGGATCATACTTCAACTCCTCGAGGTTCTCAGAGTCGCCGGGATCACCACCGCTATCGCCGTCCCCACCTGGGTCGGCGGGCTCTTCGCCGCCCGGGCGCCCGGCACCGCTGGCGTCACTGGTGCTGCTGCTCGGGCTGCTGCTGCTGCTGCTGCTGCTGCTGCTGCTGT